TATATATATATATATATATATATATATATTATTATTATTAGGAGTGAGAAAGAAGAGAGAGAGCAGTGTGTATTTAGAAACCCAATGTACTTCATCATGGTCTCATTTTTTTGGTACATTGATGCATCGCCTTTCCTTATCCGTTAAATAATGCAGCCATCATAAAAGAAAGAAAATAACATTACCCTAATATATTAAAAAAGGCAATAAACGGTATATAGTAATAATGATGGTCTGTTTCTGTTTGCATATAGGTTTATACCTGGAATTATTTATACATAAAAACTCATTCTTGTTTACAGAAAATTGCAAAAAGTGCATAAAAAATTGAATAATTATGGTACGAAGAAGAGATTCAATTCAAATCATATCGGAAACTGTTGCATGATCCAATAAAAGCTAATAAAATTCATTCGTTCGACATAAAATCGAGACTAATTGTAGAAATGGAAATTAAAATAACAGCGGTAAAATTTCTAAAAAAGCACAACCTTATAAAATACGATATCATGAAAAGCGTTTTTTCACACAAGGATCAAAACTGTGAAGAAGAGAGAGTGATGAATACGATCCCTAGACATTGTTAAGTATGGGAAAGAAGAGCCTCGTTGAGCTATAAACCAATGGCTTCTGTTATTGCCCAAAAGATTATAGGCATTTGAGTATATTTTAGTGGAGTTTTCATAGTTTATTTTTTCAGGTTAGGGATTACAACTATTTTATGTATATATATATATATATAATTTTTAGTTTTTGTTTATTATTTCAATGTTTAAGTATAGTTGTCAATCGTTTTCAACGCCGACTTTCACCTTTCTGAGGTCTCATTTGAATATTTCCCGGAATTGTGTATTACGGCATGTATGTTTTAAATGCCTAAAAATGTTAGAGTTATTATTCAAATGTAGTGTCAAAATGTATTATTTGATGAAAAAAAAAGAATATTCGGACGGTTTTTATATCAATATATATATATATATATATATATATATATATATATATATATATATATATATAGAGAGAGAGAGAGAGAGAGATTTATATATAAATAAAAAAAAGAAAGAACATTAAGATATATAATCAATAAACGGACCTGTGTTTTCATAGATATTTTTATTTTTTACAAAATAGTGCTCAATGTAAATTTACAGAGCATTAATATTATAAATTAATTGATTTAAAATTTTAAAATGGTTTTTTTTTATGTATACACAGTTCTAACCATGTTTCAAAATGAAGCTTTTTAAGCAAAATCCAGGCATGAAAAATTTAATTTTGTAATTAAATATAAAGACATTAGTTCCATTTCATCCTCAAAATATTTTTATTTTTACAAAATAGTGCTTGAGGATGAAATGGAACTAATGTTTAAAAACTGAATTTCGAATTTAACTTAATTAAAATTAAAACATTAGTTCCATTTCAAAAAAAATTCGTTAAATGAAAATGAACTAATGTCTTAATTTTCAAGAATTAAATTGGGGCCATTTTTTAAACATGGTTAGAATTCCATTTTTCATAGGATTAAAAATAAATTAGAACTGTGTAAAATTATCATGTAACATTTATGAGGATAAAACAGATTACAGAAAATAACTTTGATATCTTTCTTGGGGTCATTCTGAATTTTATACAATTCATCTTATTAATGTTAACAACGAACTATTTTAAATTAGAAAATTGTGTTTGGATTAAACGAAAATTATTTTCACGGCACGGGTACACTAGTAATAATGCGAACAACAGCAGCGACAACAACATCAGCAACAACAACAGCAGCAACAACAACAGCAGCAACAACAAGAACAATAATAATAATAATAATGATAATAATAATAATAATAGATAGATAGATAGATAGATAGATCTTTACCTATGTAAAATGTAAAAGCAGGCTGAAATTACAGATTGAATGTACGGACTGTCAAGGATTACTCAGACCTTTCAAAGTTTACACAAAAAATGTTGTGCTGTTTAAGGCCGTACGACTTGATTATTACGACTTGTTTAGTAATAATGCGCTTGTGCTATGCATCTTGTCCATATACAATTTGTAAAGATTTAGTAAATTATAAATTTTATAAGGCCGTCATATAAGGTTTTCACTGATTATCGGAATGAAATTCCAACGCAACGATTTTGAACCTAAACGTTAAGTTAAATTTATTTCCTCAAAAAAACGATAAGGATTTGGAAATAAAAAATATTTGGTATCCTTATTTATAATTTTAAACCTTAAATTTCAAATTGAGTGCAATACCAAGGTTTCAACCTTTCTGACTGTCCAGTCCGTCACTAAAATGACCGGTGGGTATAATTACTTGAAACATTCAAGTATTCTGCAGCGAGAGGCGATATTCCATGTATATTTGTATGTGTGTGTGTTTATGTGTGTGTGCCATGCAGACATTACGTTAATTTTTCGCTTGTTGATTTGGGAATGTTTTTACGTACAAATCGGTTGTTTTAGATAAGCATATGTTAGATTCTTTAAGAATGGATTCAGTAAAGGTTTGTGTTGTAAGGTAATACTTTTCACATGTGCTTAAAGTTGGTAATATATTTATTAGTAATCCCTTGAAATATTTTCTCCTTAAGGAAAAACGTTCTTTATCACTGGGTTGGCATTTTTAAAAACAAAGTTATGGCCAGTTTTGTTCCTGTGTGTTACGAGGGAGTTTAAATAGTTGTCCAAGCGTAAATCCCTTTTATGTTCATAGATAAGGGGTTTTAGTTTTCGTGATCACTCGCCAGTATAAGAGCTTTTACATTGCAAGAATTTATTTTAAGTACCGGCATTTGAATTGGTGTTGAATTTATTTTATTCCATTTCTCATTTTTTGATTAAGTTTTAATAAAAGTGAAACATGTTAGACTGATAAACGTTTTCTATTTGTTCTTTATGTTATTATATATACAGGGTGCGATGGGAAAATTGGCGCCATTTTATATTTTTAATTTCGCGCATGCGCGTTGTTTGTTTTTGATTTTGTCGACAGCACGGTATAGTAGGGTCAGTTGGGCACCATCTGTGAGAAAAAGAGCACCATGACGCAATGCACTGCACAAGAAATGTGAAAACGGCATGCTGTATTGCTTGGCATTCACGTTGGAAGCTCCAAACAGTGTTTGGATGTCAATCGGAGGACAGTGCAGATGATTCGGAATGAGTTGGATGAGTGTAATTGTGATTACGAAGGTACGGCAGCTCGGAAATCTCACTCTGATTCTGATAAGAAAAGAACTCCTGGATTTGTTGGTGAGGGCTTCAGACTCAACAGAGAGGCCTACATCAAGTGCTTTGAGGAGGCAATGCTGCTCTGTGTCTAGAGGGCGGCTGCTGGAAGACTATATGTCTGGCAACAGGACTTTGAACCATGCCACACAAGCAGGGGAACCAGTTACGGCACTCAGACAATTTCTACAACGACATCACACCTTACATCTGGCCACTTAACTCCCAAGACTACCCCCCCCCACTTGATTATTATGTGTGGGACGCAACTGAGAAAGAGACCAAGAAAACTCCTTGTAACACCAAAGATGAACTGAAGGCAAGGATTATGGATGCATTCACTAACTTAAACAAGGAGACCGCCCAGAATTGCTGCAGGAGAGTCGGAACTCATCTGGAGGCCATAGGTTGAAGCTAATGACGATTTTAGTGAATGAATTTACTCTTTATTATTACAAGATTTTTTTTGTGTAATTTTGGTAAATATATCCGTTAAAATGACATGTCAGTGTTATTTCATTTTTGCGTAATTTAGACTACAATTTATCCATCGCATCATGTTTAGATATTTGTCTTAGATAAAAAATATATATATATATATATATATATATGTGTGTGTGTGTGTGTGTGTGTGTGAGCAAATATATGGATATAGATCCGACAGTATGAAGAAAAATATACTGAATAAACAAACAAAAATCCTAATATGCGATTATGCTGTTTTAACGTTAAATGTCAACGTCGGACGTTTCGGTCTCATAGACCATCTTCAGGACATATTCATAAAACATAATTAACATAGACCATATTCAATTCAACATGAAAAAGACGATGGACATAAAAGCAAGACCAATCCAAACAGATAACTGAAATCTTTCACAACATCGCCCACGTGACGACGACGTGATCATTTTTAAACGGAACGCTGAACTTATAAAAGATTTCTGTTATCTGTTTGGATTGGTATTGCTTCTATGTGCCGACTATTGTCCTCATGTTTGTTATTGTTATCACAATGTTTCTGCCATTGCGCACACCCGTCTTCATCAGGTGTTCATCAATTAATGGTTACATTCAGGGAATTCCGGACTGAACGTTTTATTTTATCTCCGTCTGTAGATTGTTCTCGCATTAACATTAAAACAGCATAATCGCATATTAGGATTTTTGTTTGTTTTTTCGGTATATTTTTCTTCATACTGTCGGATCTATATCCATACATTTGCTTATATATATATATATATATATATATATATATGGCAAAATTTCAGATGAAGTATATCTGTAAAAGGACTTCGTCAAGTAAAGTTTTTCCCGTCTGAAATATTATTTTTATTATCTGTTTTTAACTTCGATGTGTATTCTTAATTAGAATTACCTAAATAAACCACAAAGGAAACAAGATATAAATTTATTTTCACGCACAATCTAAAAATATCGCTAAGCATCTAACTTGAATGAAGACATTAACGCAAAAATGTCGTGTCAAGAATTGGATTATTCGCTCACTGTTGCAAAATCGCCGCCCAATAAACACACACACGTACAGAGAGAAAGAGAGAGAGAAAGAGAAAAGAGCGCGTGTGTGTGTGTGTGTGTGTTTGTGTGTGTGTGTGTGTGTGTGTGTGTGAGAGAGAGAGAGAGAGAGAGAGAAGAGGAAAAAGAGAGACACTCCCACACATGTCTGAGCAAAAGTACAGCAATGAATATGGCTGTGGCCACTATGACCAACCGGTTTCCGTCGTCGGCCCATTAACGTCAACTAATGCTGGTCATCCATCACTTGTCGCTGGCTTACTCACGTTTAATGTTTGCCCAAATTCAAACGAGGGGACAAAGACGGCCATTGACAGGTAACGTGCCGCTGCTACCGGTAAAGAAGAACAATGTATGAATGACCAAAATCAGATTGTCATCTTGAGTCTCATTAACACTCTTTCAGCATCTATCTATCTATCTATCTATCTATCTATCTATCTATCTATCTATCTATCTATCTATCTCAGTCTGTTCATATCTATCTCAGTCTGTTTGCATCTATCTATCTATCTATCTATCTATCTATCTATCTATCTATCTATCTCAGTCTGTTCATATCTATCTCAGTCTGTTTGCATCTATCTATCTATCTATCTATCTATCTATCTATCTATCTCAGTCTGTTCATATCTATCTCAGTCTGTTTGCATCTATCTATCTATCTATCTATCTATCTATCTATCTATCTATCTATCTATCTATCTCAGTCTGTTCATATCTATCTCAGTCTGTTTGCATCTATCTATCTTCATCTATCTATCTATCTATCTATCTATTCTATCTCAGTCTGTTCATATCTATCTCAGTCTGTTTGCATCTATCTATCTATCTATCTATCTATCTATCTATCTATCTATCTATCTATCTATCTATCTCAGTCTGTTCATATCTATCTCAGTCTGTTTGCATCTATCTATCTATCTATCTATCTATCTATCTATCTATCTATCTATCTATCTATCTCAGTCTGTTCATATCTATCTCAGTCTGTTTGCATCTATCTATCTATCTATCTATCTATCTATCTATCTATCTATCTATCTATCTATCTCAGTCTGTTCATATCTATCTCAGTCTGTTTGCATCTATCTATCTATCTATCTATCTATCTATCTATCTATCTATCTATCTATCCCAATCGGTCCATATCAACCTCAATCTGTTTGCATCTATCTATCTATCTATCTATCTATCTATCTATCTATCTATCTATCTCAGTTTGTTCATATCTATCTGTCTATTTGCATCTATCTATCTATCTATCTATCTATCTATCTATCTATCTATCTATCTATCTATCTATGTTCACATCACTCAGTCTGTTTCCATCTATCTATCTATCTATCTATCATCTATCTATCTATCTATCTATCTATCTATCTCAGTCTGTTCATATCTATCTCAGTCTGTTTGCATCTATCTATCTATCTATCTATCTATCTATCTATCTATCTATCTATCTATCTATCTCAGTTTGTTCATATCTATCTCAGTCTGTTTTCATCTATCTATCTATCTATCTATCTATCTATCTATCTATCTATCTATCTATCTCAGCCTGTTCAAATCTATCTCAGACTGTTTGCATCTATCTATCTATCTATCTATCTATCTATCTATCTATCTATCTATCCCAATCGGTCCATATCAACCTCAATCTGTTTAATTTACATTATCTATGTGCCGACTATTGTCCTCATGTTTGTTATTGTTATCACAATGTTTCTGCCATTGCACACACCCGTCTTCATCAGGTGTTCATCAATTAATGGTTACATTCAGGGCATTCCAGACTGAACGTTTTATTTTATCTCCGTCTGTAGATTGTTCTCGCTCCACTGTCCATGAATCGGAATATCTCTAGTTCTTAATTCATTACTGCTCAGTTATCAGTCGCCCCGTGTCCACTGAATTCAAGTACGCACTGCCCGACTCAGGGATTGAACTCATCATTATTATGTCACGAGATTCATGAACCAGGTAGGCTATTGTGGCTTAATGACAACAACAAGGACACTTATACCTAACACCAGAAAGAAACAGTTGAAATTTCTAGAGCACATAATGAGGAAAGAGTGCTTGGAGAATTTGACACTCACCAGACATTGACGGTAAGCCGGCCAGAGGAAAGCAGTATATAAATAAATTGGCCGAACAGGGTTTCAGGAGATATAGCGAAAAGATAAAATTTACTATGAACTACAAAGGACAGAAAAATGTAGAGAGCCATGATCGCACACGTCCTGAAGTGTTACGGCATATGGAAGAAGATCTTTTGTTGCTATAAGCAGTTAATGTCGAAATTTCGCAACAATAAATATAATTATTATCCCCACTACTTTATTGCAGACCCAACTTGACAAAATGGCGCCTGATGATATACGTGTATCATTGAATTTTTGTCACGCTTAGTGACTCTTCACGGTGGCGGGCGGGGGGGGGGCTACAAACAGCTCGACGGCAGTAAACGCGTCTCGGCAATGGTAATAGCGATACGCGCGGGAAGCAACGTTCTGGACGACCTTACACAGCTTTTTGACACACGAAAATGAAGAACGCTTTGAAAATGTCTCGCCAAAAGTAGTAGTTTTATAGAAAAAAAAAATTGTTTTATAGATGAAAACTGGCTTTATCACTTTTACCCATAAATATGAAACGCCCTAAAACTATATTTTTATAATATATACGAGGCTTCCCTAAAGAGTAACAGGACTGGGTGTGGTCAGTGAGCTCTGGGCAGTTTCCTTCCCGTAAAAGTTACATATTATTATCATTATTTTTTTTTCTTTGATTTCTGGCGTTTACACATTTCTTTCCGGGCCCCGCCCAGGGACCTAAGGTTAGAAATGGCATCATGACACTTTCCACTGACAAAAAAAAAAAAAAATTACATAGATAAAGCCCTTCGTAAAGTGTGGGCTGTACTTGTCAGAACAATTTTTTGTATTTCTTTGAGGCATGGACTTCCAGGAATCCCTTCAATTAGTCTACTGCAATCTTTTCCAACCAGTACTAGGACTCCAACTACAACAGGGATTGTTGATGTTCCCATATGCCACATTTTCGAGATTTCTATTTCAAGGTCCTTGTATTTTGACAGCTTTTTGAATATCTTCAAAGATACATTGCAGTCAGCAGGGACTGCCATATCAATAAGGAGGCACTTTTTTGTTTGTGGTCTTTAATAACAATATCTGGGCGGTTGGCTTTGATTGTTCTGTCAGTGTGTATTGTGTTTATTATTATTATTATTATTATTATTTTTGTATGTTATGTTTCCTGCTTTGTATCCTATAGAGCCGGGTTCAAACTATGGTTCTCAGCTCCTTATTATTATTATTATTATTATTATTTTCTTTGATTTCTGGCGTTTACACATTTCTTTCCGGATCCCGCCCAGAGACCTAAGGTTAGAAATGGCATCATGACACTTTCCACTGACGAAAAAAAAAAAAAAAAAAAATTACATAGATAAAGCCCGTCGTAAAGTGTGGGCTGTACTTAGAACAATTTTTTGTATCTCCTTGTTATTATTATTATTATTATTATTATTATTACATTTCTTTCTCCTCCTTCTTTTGGTTTGAATATGAACATTATTATTATTATTATTATTATTATTATTATTATTATTATTAATAATAATAGTAGTAGAATTTTTCATTCTCTCTTACGCTCCTTATTATTAGTAGTACTAATAGTCTTCCTCTCTTCTTTTTCTTCTTTATTTTGTCATTATTATTAGAAGTAGTAGTAGAAATAGTAATAGTCGTATGTTTTCATTATTATCAATAGTAGGAATATTAGCATTCACTTTCCTAAGATATTTAAATAACCTATAAACAGAAAATATGTTAAATAATTGTTGGACTTCATCCATTTGATAATATATATATATATATATATATATATATATATATATATATATATATATATATATATATATATTTGACAAGTTTCTCAGAGTTAACACAACAGTATCAAGAAGTCAATAGAAAATGGTTGAATCCGTCAACACAACAATAAAAAATTCCACACGTGACAGTACTTGACGTAATTTTCAGTTGACAATATGAATATAATGACATTCTTTAAATTCTTCCAGTTGCTAAGGACATTTTGTTTTGTTATTATTAGTTACTTTGTTAAATAAATTGATTTCATTTTTGCCTTGAAAAAGTCCACATTGGACGAAAACGTGTCGGCGAATATTACACTTTTCCTATTGTCTTTTATATATACATTATATATAAAGAAGGAGGAGGAGGAGGAGGAGGAAGAAGAAGAAGAAGAAGAAGAAGAAGAAGAAGAAGAAATGCGTTGACGTTAGTCGTTCTCTTACACGCTTTTAGTCATGCTTTCCTTATTATTTGTTATAAAAAGATGGAAAATTGCGAGGCCACCCTAAAGAGTAAAAGGATTGGGTGTGGTGTGTGAGCTCTGGGCAAAACAGGGATAAGCAGATTCTGTTATCATCTAACATGATATCTTGAGAGTATATAACTCTAATGTTAGTTTTCTGCAACCATTGCATTTTTTTCATATGTTTTTGTGACAGGAAAAATCATTGTCTGCTTCACCGCGACAATGCACCGTCTGACAACACCATGAGCATGCGGAATTTCTGTCAGATGATTTTTTTTATATATTCTTATTTCCTTCATATTTCACTTTTTCGTTCTTATGTTTACTTTTTTTTCCAATTTCATTCATTCGATCCTTTTTTCTTATTTTGCTGTATTTATTTTTTTCATCCTTTTTTTTTAAACTTTTTCCATACTTTCATTTTTCCATTGTTTTTTCCTTATACTTATTTAAACATATTTCTGTTTTTCGTTCTTGTTTTTACTTTTTCCCTCACTTTAATTCATTCGCTGTTTTTTTTTCTTATTCTTCTTACCAACATATTTCACTTTTTCGTTCTTTCTTTTACGTTTTCCTCATTTTCATTTTTTGATATTTCGCTTTTTCTTGTTTTTCTTTTTCTTCAGTTTCATTCATTCTATGTTTTTCTGTTTTTTTTCTTTTTCTTCAGTTTCATTCATTCTATGTTTTTCTGTTTTTTTTTCTTTTTCTTCACTTTCATTCATTCCGTGTTTTTTCTTATTCCTATTCCGAAATATTTCACTTTTTCGTTCTTGTTTTACTTTTACCCTCACTTTCATTCATTTTTTGATGTTTTTTTTTCTTATTCTTATTCCTGATATTTCGCTTTTTCTTGTTTTTCTTTTTCTTCACTTTCATTCATTCCATGTTTTTCTGTTTTTTTTTCTTCTTTTCACTTTCATTCATTCCATGTTTCTTCTTATTCTTATTCCGAAATATTTCTGGTTTTTCGTTCTTGATTTTACTTTTTCCTTCACTTTCATTCATTCCATGTATTTTCTTTCATTCTTATGCCGATATATTTATTTTTTCGTTTTTGTTTTTTTGCTTTTTCTTCACTTTCATTCATTAAATATTTTTTCATATACTTATGCGGAAATATTTCACTTTTTCTTTCTTGTTTTACTTTTTTCTTCACTTTCATTCATTTTTTGATGTTTTTTTTTTCTTATTCTTATTCCTGATATTTCACTTTTTCTTGTTTTTCTTTTTCTTCACTTTCATTCATTCCATGTTTTTCTGGTTTTTTTTTCTTCTTTTTACTCTCTTTCATTCATTAGATATATTTTTTTATATACTTATTCCGAAATATTTCACTTTTTCTTTTTGTTTTTACTTTTTACCAATTTCATTCATTCGATTTTTTTTCTTTTTCTTATTTCGGCATATTTCTCTTTTTTGTTCTTTTTTTCCCCTTTTTCCACACTTTTTCCTTATACTTATTTCCTACGTATTTCCCTTTTTCATTCTTTTTTTACGTTTCCCTCATTTTTATTTTTTGAAATATTTTTTTTTATTCTTTTTTTCCGTTCTTGTTTTTACTTTTTTCCTCACTTTCATTCTTTCGGTTTTTTTTCTTATATCTTTCCCATATATTACGCCTTTTCATTATATTATGATATCTTGGGACTATATAACTATAAACTTAGCTATCTGCAACCATTACATTTTTTACCACTTGCGAGCGTTGCGGCAGTACAAATCGTGGCTGTATCAGCACAACAATACACCTGCTCACAACGCCCTGAGCATCCAGCAGTTCCTGGCCGAGAACATCGCCGTACTGGAACAACCTACCTATTCACTTGATCTTGCTCCATAGGACGTTTTTCTTTTCCCCAATCTGAAGGGGATCATCAAGGAGACCCGTTTTAAAACTGAGGGGAGCGTAAAGAGGGCCGTAACGACGGAGTAGAAGTAGTAACAAGTCATCTCATAAGTTCTGTCGGAATTTTAACTTTTTCTTAAAATGAACGAAATTTAAAGAGTATTTTATAATGTCTAAAGGAGCTGAACATTAATTTTATGTTTAGATGCATTTAAACTGATCAAATTTTATTTCAGAGAACAATAAAATTAAATTTTGTTTGATTAAAACCCTGCTAACATGGAAGTACTCAAGAATAATTTGAGGCACATAATGCTTTATGAGTTCAAGAAAGGAAACTCAGCAGCCGAAGCGGCTAGAAACATTCACTCAGTTTATGGAGAGGAATGTGTGAATGAAAGAACTTGTAGAAGATGGTTTGCAAAATTCAGAGGTGGAGATTTCACCCTTGAAGATGAAGATCGAACCAGAATTGGCAGTGGTTCTCAGTTCAAACCATACAACTGTTCATCGTTATCTTCAACAACTTGGAAAAGTTCCTAAACTTGGAAAATGGGTGCCTCATGAATTGTCTGAAAACAAACTCAAATCCCGAGTTGACATCTGCTCTTCTCTCCATTCTCACCAACTTGTTTCACCTTTTATGGATAGACTTGTGACTGGCGACGAAAAATTGACCTTTTATCGAAATGTTAAGTATCGTAGACAGTGGCTTGGTAAAGGGGAAGGACCCCAGCCACAGCCGAGAAGGGAACTTCATGAGCAAAAGGTTCTTCTTTCAATCTGGTGGGATCGCCAAGAATAATCCACTTTTGAATTCTTACCACCTAATGCAACAATTAATGCTCAAATATACTGACAGCAATTAGAGCGTTTCAACCAAGCTTTGAGGAAAAAAAGACCTGCTCTAGTGAATCGAAAAGAGGTGATGTTTCATCAGGACAATGCGCGACCCCACACAACAAGAATCACGTCACAAAAGGTCGAAGACTTGGTTGGGAGAAAATTCCTCATCCACCTTATTCTCCCGATCTTGCTCCTTCAGACTACCATTTGTTTCGTAGCTTACAGAATAATTTGGAAGAAACAGCTTTTGTAACCCAGGAATAAGTTAAAACTGACATTTGTGAGTTCTTCGAATCAAAGCCAAAAGAATTTTACAGTAATGGAATTAGTAAGCTTGTTAATAGATGGAAGGAAGTCATAGATAATCAGTGAAAATACATTGTTGATTGAATCTGTAATTAAATGTAACATTTGGTCACTTGTTGTCTTTATTCAAAATTCGGACAGAACTTATGGGATGACCTGATATATTTAAGAATAATCCTTCCATTAGTGCATAGAAACGTGGAAAAGAAGAATGTATAGTTTTTTGCGTAACTTAAATAAATTCTTTGCGACACCAGTCCCATTACTTTTTTAGACATACCTCGTATATATATATATATATATATATATATATATATATATATATATATATATATATACACACGTGTGTGTGTTAAGAAACA